TATTTGTGTTTGATAAGAAAAAAACTAAGATTTCAATAGTTGGGCCAACTGAAGTGGGAAGGAGCTCGTACTATATATACCCAAAAATGTACAACACTCAACCCCAGATTTTTAACCCCTAAAATTTTTTCAGGTGCCTGAAACGTCAAAAGACAAAGTGTGAGCTTTTTTTCGTTTCTTCCACTTCGCGCCATTGCTACAAAGATTTCTCGTGCTTGGTATAGTGGGGTTACCTTCAGTGGAAATTTCATCAATATTCGAGCGGTACTTTTCAAGTTATAGACGAGCCAAGGATTAGTTGACAGACAGACCGACAAACAGAGTGACAGACAGACCAACAAACAGTAACGACAGGTTTTTTGTGATCTATGTACATTTTTATACAAACGCCCCTATTTTAGCAAATCATGAGACATCGAAGACTACGACATTCTTGGGAATAGAAATGGATGCAAAGCTCACTTGGCAACAACACATGGAGTGTGTGTAAAAAGTTGAACCAATCATATTATGCGATTCCTAAGCTCAAGTTTTGCTTATCAGAGTCAGCTTTACTAGATGTATATTATGCTCTCGTCCACTCACATGTATCAAGGAACATCATAATTTGGGGACAAGCAACTTCAATTTCTAGAGCATTTGTTCAACAGAAGAGAATAATCAGATTGATATTCCACATTCGTAGAAGAGAATCCTGCAGAGATATCTTAAGAAATAAAAACATCATGACTATACCAAGCATTCATATTTATAAGTGCGCCCTTTTCACACATACAAACAAAACAAAATTTATACAGAATAAAAACATCAACACACATTATAATACAAGGGCAGGTGAGAGTCTGAGTATTCCAAAACACACACTGACGCTGTTCGAAAAGTCACCGGAATACACCTGCATGAGAATATATAACAAACTTTCAGCTAACCTCAGGAATGTCAGTAGTATTGCTAGTTTTAAATGTAAACTACGAAAATTATTAGTTGAAAAATGTTTCTACTCTTTGTCTGAATACCTCGCACTGTGATATTTTTTTAAACTTTTTTTATATGTGAATGTCTGTACGCCTTAAGTTGTCCCTGTTTGTACTTTGTAAATATGTTTGTTTCGTTTCTATTTTTAATTATGTGTACTATGTATACTTTATCTGAAGTCACTTGAAATAGCATAAAAACCTTTGGTCGGCGCGTCCTTTGTAATTTCATGACGTATCATAGGCGTGCGGTCATTTATTTAGAACGATAATAATAATGTATTTATATTTTTTGATTTGGGATAAAAAATACTTATATTGGGAGTTTAATTTATGTTGACTGAAAGTTAAGAAATGGAAAAATTACAGAATTCCAACGTTTGACATAGGCAAATATTTACATAGCAGGTAGGTATATAAAAAGGTATATAAAGACTTACATTATAGGTATTTATATATCATCCTCGCCTTCGGAGCTGTCGCTAGAGTCATCTTGTAGAGGAATTACAACGGGATTTACAGGAGGCAAAACACAATATTCATTTTCTTTTTCAATAATATGCCCAGAACACTGCTTCCATAGGTCTGTAACAGCAATATGAGATACTGCATCTCTTATTGTGGCCAATAGCGATTCACTCAATTGAGGGGTCTGATTATGTTTTCTTACTTTTTTTTTAAAGCAGCCCAGACCAACTCAATCGGGTTAAAAACGCAGTAATAGGGAGGTAGACGTAATACTTCATGGCCATTTTGCTGAAGCAGATTGTCAACAATATACTCTTTTTCAAATTTTTGTCTTTTAATAAGATCCAGTAATATGGCTTTGGTTGATTTTTGTGGTATTTCCATTCCCTTATCCTTCATAAAATCAATAATGTCTTGTTTTTTTGTGCCTGTATTCGGAATTTTGTTTTTCTGTCGGGAATGGTATGGCGCATTGTCCATAATAATTACTGAATTTGGGGAAATGTTTGGTATTAACTGCTGCTCTATCCACTTTTCAAATAAGTCGGAGGTCATGTCCTCATGATAGTCGGCACATGATTCTTTGATATTTTTGGCAGATAACAGCAAGGCATTAGGTATAAATCCATTTTCACTGCCAGCATGGAGAATAATGATTCGTTTTCCACGGTTGCATGGTGCATTTAAAATGCACTTGTTGCTGTCGTCAACCCAGCCGTACTGCACAACATCATGGGTATCATACCACGTTTCATCGAGGTAAATCAGATTTCTTTTCTGCTCTCTATAGATTTTAACTTTGTGCAAAAATTCTTGGCGCAATTCAACGATTCGAGACGACTCCATAATCACCATTCTTTTATCTAATTTTTTGTATTGAAAACCACACAGTTTTACAATACAGTGCAGTGAGTCTAAGCATTTGTAATTATAAAAATCTTCAGGATAATCTTTTAATTTATCCCGTATCATTTCCAACGTGGGCACCAAATTTTCTTTATAAAATCCGTATATTATACGACGAATATCTTCCTGAAAACCCACGTCTATTCTTTTTAATTTTTGCCCTATGCGCTTTCTGTGGAAGGAATGGTTGAACTACATCTCCCCTTTTTATAACCCGATAAATGGTAGACCGACTGATTTTTGTCAGGATACAAATTCTGTTTAAAATTTGATTTTGCGAGGAATCTGGATTTTCGTTTTTCAGACAATCATACATATTTAGGATTACTATTTGGGTCTATTCCTCTAAATCTTTATGAAAGAATTCTGCCTGCACAGGTTCATCAACCATCTCCTCGTGGCTTGGAGCATTTTCCCAAGGTCTCCAAAGAGCCATATTTAGGACACACAAGAACAATCAACACAACAATTAAATCAACAAGTAAACTGAGTATTCAAAAGTCAAAAACACACAAACTAATAAAATCTATGAAAAAACACGGACAGACTAAATAATACACGTTTATTCACCGCTACACGGCACTGGCTAAACTGTTTCAATTTTCAGTAGCCTCCTGCACTTGTTCGGAGCTCTGAAATACACGCTTTCTCATTGGCTATGTCCACGCATAGGCGTGCTTTATTCCACGTGGACCGGTGAAGCTGCCTTTGATCTTATACGGAGGATATTTGCTGCGAAATTTGGCGATTTTTGCAGCAACAGAGCGTGTTAAATATAGATATATAAAACGCACCCGGTATTTCACAGTGTTTCAAGTGACTTCAGATAAAGTATACCTCCCTCTTAGGATGAATCTTATGTCATTTTTTATGATCTATAAGACAATAAATGTATCTATCTATCTATCTATCTATCTATCTATCTATCTATGACATCCAAGTATCGTATTGTCTCGTTTTAGAAATCTTTCGCGATTAAAATTCTTCGCCAGTAGGCGTGGGAAGTAAATAACGAATACAAATATTTTCCGAGCGGATGTGTAGATACTTCCTGAACTAATTGAGCTTCAGGAGTTCTGTGGTCATGCACTAATTAACATCGGAATATCAAAGTAGGCCACTCAGTATGTGGAACGTTCCTCATCTCCACGTGGGTATGCCATCCAACTCATCTGGGTAAATCATGCATACTAAGCGGGGAGCTGCAGAGCCTCCACCGGGCTCATATTGGAAGCAATAAAATCTAATTTGAACTGAAAATTTCATCAGGACATGAATTCGCATCTTAGTAATGAAGAGCAGTTATGAATATTTGAGGATCGTATATGTCCTAATTAAGGTTACGTTTACGTGCAATAACAGCCCTGAATGAGATACTGGCACCGCCGTCTAGGCATGGAAGCAGCCAAATGGACTTGCATAATTCAATGAGGAAACTTTTTTAATGAAGTTTCGCCCCATCCCGACCCAATTTTCTCGTTGAAGTGGCTACAGCTACATGTTTACTGTGAAAATACTACTCTAAAACCAAAAAAACCCGCATGTATCGTCGTCCATAACACGAAGTGGCTTATCCAATTTTTTCCAATTTTACAGGAAAGCATTTTGAATATTTTCACGAGATTTGAGTTGTTGCTGACAAAAAGGTATTATTGCTGCATTATCGAATTTGTGGGTATCTCTGCTCATGTTTACAAGCTTTTAAAAAATGAGCAACGAGTATGTGTTCAAAAGTTCAAAAAAAAGTAGAGTCGTCATTTTGTGAAGTTGAAAGGTCGTAATTCATTTAATAAAGACTTAGTTACGTTCGTGTTATATCAAAGTGAGGATGAAATTTAAGAAAAAAATTATTTATTACAAGACAAAATGGTTACAAAAAGGGGAACAGTGAATACTATGGCGAAATAAGTATCCGCAGTATCTAAAACTATTTAACTCATAAAAGTATAGATGGCAGCACAAACAAAAGATTCACCCAAATAATAATGATATAATAATATCTGTTAAAGATAAACAAAATAATAGGGTCAAGTGGTGCAAAAACGAGACGATTTTTAAATCTTTTAATTTTTTGTCAACAAAAAACCGGACTTTAAGGCTTTGTTATATTGCCCTGTATATAGAAAGCCATGTAATATACCTCACGTTAAAAAAAGTTCATAATATTCATAATGAAGGGCGTTTTTGTTAAAAAACCGTGTCTCGTTTTTAACCACTATTTAGGCTAAAAATGAGACAGTGAGAGGTTAAAAACAAGACACTGTATTTTCTGGCCTTTTAGCCATTTTACATCGGTGTGGCAAAATATGAGACCCTGGGTAATAAAAACGAGACACACTGCAAGGGTTTTAAAGCGTTTAGTAAGTCAAATAACATAGTTAGGTTTTAAATTGTGACAACGTTCTTAAAGAAAATTCACATAATTAAATACAAAACTATGTTTATTAAACTAAAAAGAAAACAAATCCAAAAACAAGTTAAATAAACCATACCTAATTCAAAAAAGGCGTAAAACAAGATTTTCAATATTATTATAAGAGCTAAAGTAGAAAACTTATTATTCTAATGTGTATTGTACTACATATTATTGAACGACGTATTTTTCAAAGTCGATAGGAAACCAATATTGCTGAGAGATACGACAGGTCTTACTTTCTATTTCTGGCTGGGGAAGTTTCATTTCTATGTCACTTTTGTCGATGAAGTACTTTTCCTCAATGGCCGGAAAAATAAATTTAAATCCTTTGCGCCTCAGATATTTTACTTCTACATCGCTCTCAAAGACTTTAAGCATTTGTGCTACGTAGTAAACTTGCGTTTTTGCGTTTTTTTGACTTAGTCTATTGCGCTTACAAAAATTTTTAAACCAATCTTTCCCGGGCTTTCCTTCCTTAAACTGGGTAGTAAGGTGGTTTTCTTGTACATAGGTTTGAACTATAGCTTGTATCTCTAGTTTAGTGAGAGCAAACCCCCATTTTGCCATAATTTTTATCTTATCACTTAAGTCTACTTCCATTTCTTTAGTTAGAGAAGTTTTTCTTCCCTGTTTACCAAGTGAACGAGTACGTCTTCTCGAAAGAGCAGATTTGTCAATTTTAAACTGTTTAGCTGCATTTCTAAGAGATAAAGTGCCATTACCTATTAGTTTTAGGGCTGTTTCCATTTTCTTTTTGTCGTAGGGGCGCTTTTTGGGAACGTAAACCTTCGGCATTATTATCAGAGGTATAGAAGCTGTCTTGTTTTTTACCTGGCAATTGTCTTGTTTTTAAACTTTGTGGTGTCTCGTTTTTGCACCTGTTATTCACGACGTGCCTGCTTGCCAACAACTAAAAATAGACTAAATTCGATATGGAATATCAAAGCCGCATTTGTTATTTTGAAAACGCGATACTCTCTACGATCACGTACAGCGGCGCAACAGGAAAAGTTTGTAAATACAATTTAAAAGATTTTTTAAGCAAAATGCACAATCAGATGCGATAGTTTCTTCTCGATGTTTGTGTTTACGTTTATTTATTATTCATTACATATTTCAGTTGTATATATGTGGAAGTAATTTGTAACGTATTTTTTACAATGTTATTGTTTTTTTGCATTGGGAAAAATCGAATGTCTTGTTTTTGACCGAAATTTCGGCTGTCTCATTTTTTCACCACTTGACCCTAATTAGTATTTCTATTAGTATAAAATAACTGTATTCGTGTTACAGGTGACTATTTTTGTAAAATATTGTTAGCGGCTCTTTTTTTTAACCTTTATTTATATAAATTCTAGCCATTTTATAGGCTCCCCTGAATCTGAAGTTCTTATAGACAAAACTCTCAACTCTTGAGACATTTTTTTGAAGTCGTGCTGAAGTTCGTGCACAATATATGGCTGATTACGTCTTGCCAGGCGAATAACTGGAGGCAGTTGGGCAGGTATAAGACTTGCTCCTATACTACAACTATTTGAAACTGTAATGACTCATACGCGTGATCAACACGTGATCAGAGCTAGATCCCGGCTTCCTTCCAGTACAGCCGTATAGCGTACGACATATGTCGTTTCTCTGGCTTTGCGGTGATCAACAGCACAGACAGAGATGGAAATAATGGCTGATTGTTCTCCGCCGGTAGAACCAATGAAATCAAAGACGCGCCTCGAGCGGCAGACTCATAGGCGTCGGCAACGCATTGGAACGTGTTTCGTTGAGCGATCGCATATTGTGTGTTTTTATAAGAATTGTTGTGTGATTGTTATTGTTGTGGTTTCTGTGGTTACTGTTTTGGTTATACTTAACCATGGAGCGTACAAATGGCACGAGTGGAAGTACTGAAAGCCAGGGAACAAGTAGACGGCTTCGTAAAGCACTGAAGAGGGACGCGAAAGAAATCGTGCTCAACGTGTTCAATTATCTGAACAGAACTATGTCGCAGGGAGATGCACTCGCGCGTTGTGAAAGTATGACAGGCGTTCCAGAGTAGACCATTCGCAGGGTGGTGCATGAAAAGAAGAAAACTGGAGCTACTACTGATCCAAAGTTTAATTTGAAGGGACGAAAGGCCGTTACATTGGATGACGATAGCAAAATGGCGTTAAGGCGAACCGTACATTCATTTTTCTTTAGGAATGAGATACCAACCCTCAAGGCTGTACATGCAGCGATCAAGGGAAATGAAATTATACCCCAAATGAGCGTCGAGGTAATGAGGAAATCCCTGCATGAAATTAATTTTCGTTACGAAACGCGTAATCGGAAGTCAGTATTGATAGAGAGACCTGAAATAGTCGCCTGGCGTCGAAAATACCTACGCGAAATGATTGAATATAGGCGACAAACCAGAAGAATCTATTATTTGGACGAGACATGGGTAAATGCAGGTCACACAGTTAAAAAAAACCTGAATAGACAAAAACGTAGTGAGTAACCGACAAGCAAGCATTGAAGGTTTGTCAACAGGTCTTCGTGGACCGTCACGGAAAGGTCAAAAATTGATCGTCATATTGGTAGCGATATTGGCTTTTTAGAAGAGTGTGACTTGATTTTCGTCTCTAAGAAAGGAGGTGATTACCATGACGAAATGAATGCCAGCTGCTTCGAGAGCTGGTTTCAAGGGGTGATTCAGCGAGTTGAGCCCAACTCTGTGATCGTCATGGATAATGCTTCCTACCATAGTCATCGAGCCGAACGTGTACCGACTATGGGATCTCGAAAAAGTGACATGCAGCAATGGTTGCGCGAAAAAGGAATCCCGTTTGACGATTCATGTGTGAAAGCGGAATTGTATGACAAAATTAAACAGCACAAACCTGCGGACATTAGTTACGTGACTGATGAGATGGCCCGTCAATGTGGTGTCACTGTGCTGCGGTTACCGCCCTACCACTGTGAACTGAACCCAATAGAGCTCATCTGGGCTCAAGTGAAGGGTTAATAACACAACCTTCAAATTATCAGACGTTAAGGTTTTACTTGAGACTTCCATTCAGCTAGTAACGCCCGAAGTTTGGCAGAATGCTATCCGTCATGTTGTGAAGGAAGAAACAAAAATGTGGCAGCTTGACCACCACATCGACACCATCATAGAGCCAGTTATAGTCAATTTCAACGAGGAAAGCGATAGCGACAGTTTATTACTGTCAGATGTAAGTGGAAGCGACGATGAATAAAGGTAATTCCCAAATTTTTGACTTACAATATGTTTCAAACCACTCTTTATTAAGCATGTGACAAATCTAGTTCACCCATGTTAAACATTCATACCCCGCCTATGAACAGCCGACTACTGATAGTTAAGTGATGTTCACGTGAACATCGATGAGTCATTACAGTTTTAGATAGTTATAGTATAGTTAGGCAGCAACAGTGGCCGCAGTGGCAGACTCTTCGATCACCTGATCAGTCGCCGTGCGCTGCGCGGGTTCGAATCTCGTCCCAAGAGAAATTGTTCGTGTGACGTAACCCCTTTCCCCTGTATCCCCTATAGCTCCGGGGTACCCCATGGGTGCTTAGGCCTTATGCCTTCGTGGTAGTCGGAAGACAAAAAAATGCTGTAAAGACGGCATCGTGGGCAGAATCTCCTTCATTTTGACCATGCATTGCCTCAAATAGAATAATGAGATATCTACTATATAAGTTTTAGCTTCATCATATCAAAGCATTATCGCAATAATGGAATTCTTATTCTGTCCACTGTACCCATCCGGAAATAGGGCAACCGAGCTATAACCTTAGAGTCGTAAATTTTAAAAACACTGGAAATACAAAAACTTACTTCAAATGCCCCTATTTTGCTCTCTAGTTCATTCCAAAGAAAAAAGTGACATTCTTTTGAAGAAATATCGTGCACCGTCAAATTATATTTTTTTATAAGACCACACGTTCATTTGACCGGGAACTGTTCTAGATCAAAACTTGCACATGCAATTCCATTATTATTCAGAGCTTGCAATCTATAGAACTTTTTATTTCCCTTACTTTGTTTTTCTCGTCGTAATACTTTTAATACCTGTCCTTCAGTCTTTATTTCTGATCTTTCTCAGCTTGTCTGTAGGAATTACACTGCTCTTTCTTCGGTCGGTGAAATACAAGGTTTAATGACCTAACACTTTACGGTTTGTCGTCAGCATGATTTAGTTCTCCTATAAACATAGCATATATCTTAGAAACAGTCAATTCTGGATGAAGATATTCCTTGATTGAACTTGGAACTCAATTTTCGGGAACCTCAGGATGTGTTTGTGAATTGCATCTCGAAGTGAATTGTCTCTCCTAACATCCACCACCTCTTTTTTCTCCTTCAACGATTCCAGTCGAATTTAATTTTTCTAAGTTCTCATTGTTCATTAACGAGATCCTAACGTGTGCACAATACTAAATACTGCTTGCCTTCCGTTGTAAGGTGATATTTGCGGCTATTTAGCCTTCCAGATTTTTATTTTTTTGTATGTTTTTTAACTATGTCTGCTATCTTACAAATATAAGCCATAAATATGTATATTTTATAATTTCATAAATTGGTGTAACTTCCTCGTGAAATTTAATTTCCTATTGAAATGAGATAAGTCTAATATTATTTTTCCATAGCTCTGAATGTATTAGAAACTGACTTATGCCACTTCGTGATATTGAACCTTCTTTAAGTAATAAAATCGACCTAACTGACTTTTCGTATTCTCTGAGATACGCCACTTCGTGTTATTGGCGGCGATATGTGCACTATACGAGAAATACGTTGTGACTTCCAAAATGCGCAGAAATAGCATAAATTGTTATGATTCGTAGTTGTATGTTCACCATCACTTTTGACGATATCTGTCACACTTACACCCAAAAATAAAGTCTAGATGTAAGTAGTTTTTGGAGAATAAAATCATTTTTCAGCAACTATCAGTCATAAAGTAAAAGACAGCTTTGATGTGGTTTCAAACAGTCCTCAAGACAAGTCAATTATGCACTGATACATAGAACTGCTATTCTGTGCCTTAAAATCACTCTATATATACTAAGGGGGCATAGAGAAGCACTCGTGAGTAAAAACTAAGTACTGTAATCGCTAAAATTGGATCGAAATTGAGATATTATGTTGCTGTCATGACCCTGCTATAACATAGAAAGTACTAGTCAGATTTTGATAAATGTCTACACAAGTTACTGCTATGCCAAGGATGAACGAGGTTTATGGTTCTTGAAAATCAATTCAGTGGCGGCGGAGCTACGGGCAAAAGAAGGAAAAAACTGCCCAAACTTTCAGACGGTCCTGATCATGTTCGGAAGAATTTTTGTAGTTGTTCAAAATTAGGGGTTAAGGCTTGTGGGAGGGTAAACTTTTGATGTTGATACAATTTAACGTCGCGGTAATTCTACATATTTTATCAGGGAACCAAATAATAAAGAGCCCCAAAATTTGACAAAAAAGATTACTGGATATGTAGATTTCAGTTACATGAGCCTGTTTGACTATTTTTTTTTGTTATACTATACATGTTCGTAGCTAACCTTTTTCTCACACACTTGTTCCGAACACAATCCTTTATGGAATGATGACAGCAAAGTCAACCTTCTTGACGCCATTTTTCAAAAACGTAGTTGTTTCATATACTCGTACGTGCTATTGTAAATAAACGGATTGTCTTTTGCCTTGATGATGCATTGGAGGCAATCCGCTGTGGATACGAAGAAACTGCCAGGAAAAATATTTCCTACATTAGTATATTGTAAACACATGGTACAAGACCAAATCAAGATTTCATTAATTTACTGAGTAGCTATTGATGTATACAGAGTGTGAAACTTAAGCCAGACCTGACGCCGTTTTGTATAGCCAAAGGTAGTTTAATAGGGCCTCCCTAGATACTCGATAACTCATACTTTTTGAAACGGCTATAGAAAATACGAGGGATGTCTTTTAAGTTTTGCATATAGAAACATAGTAGGCCGCGCAGATCGAACGTCAGTACTGAATCTTAACCTCACTCTTTATTAAACTTAAATTCAAAGTTTCACAACAATACGTGCAGTGTTCTCACTACAGTGAATTTTTAAGTGTCACCAAGTCATTAGAAAAATGGAACTCAACCGAGAATTTTTTCGCTCCATAATTTATTACAACTTTCAGAGACAATTATCGCAACAAGAATGCCTTGCTGAGTTACTGTCTGATTTCGGCAACGAAGCGCCACATCAGTCGACAATTTCCCGTTGGTATGGAGAATTCAAACGTGGACGGGTGAGTCTAAGCAACGATCTCAGGGTGGGTGCGCCAAAAACGGCAGTCACCCAGGAAAACGTCGATGCTGTGTGCAAACTCATCATTGAAGATAGACATGTGACATATCGCGAGATTGAGGCGTCCTTGAAGATCTTAAAGACCTCAATTGAAAAAATTTTACAGGAAGAATTAGGAGTAAGAAAATTAGTTTCTCGTTGGATGCCCCACCTGTTGACTGAAGAGCAGAAAGCAGCCAGGGTTAATTGGTGTCAAAAAACGCTTGACCGTTTCAATTTCGGAAACTCAAAAAATGTGTACAGCATTGTTAGTGGTGATGAATCGTGGATTTACTGTTATGAACCAGAAAATAAACGACAGTCGGCTGTTTGGGTGTTCCAAGATGAAGAAAAGCCAACAAAAGTCATCCGTACTCGAAGTGTTTCGAAAAAGATGGTCGCGACATTTGTGTCAAAAGCGGGTCATACTCGTATTGCAACAATTCCTCTTAATAAGCAAAGAACTGTTATTGCGGATTGGTATACCACCATTTGTCATCACCGAGCTTCAAAGAATCAACCCCGAAAGAAGAATCATCCTCCACCAACACAATGCAAGCTCGCACACAGCCCAAAAAACAAGGCAGTATTTAACGGAAGAAAACGTGGAATTATTGGACCATCCTCCATATAGTCCCGATCTAAGTCCTAACGATTTCTTTACTTTCCAGAAAATTAAAAACAGTCTGTGTGGTCAAAGGGTCCAGTCACCAGAAGAAGCATTTGACGCATTCAAAAATGCCGTTTTGGATTGGCCAGCAAACGAGTGGAATAAGTGCTTCGAAAATTGGTTCGGGCGCATGCAGATGTGTATTAATCTTCATGGAGAATACTTCGAAAAACAATAAAGTCATTTAAAACTACCTACCGTGTTGTTTTATTTCCATATGCAAAACTTATTTACTATTTACGTTTCAAGAGCGATAAGTGGGCGTTTATAGTCCGCGGTGAAAACTTAGAGCTTAAGATACGATGGAACGCGAGATCTAACTCGCTAAGGTACATAAACAACAAAATGTTAATACAAAGTTGTATCTACGATCTTAAATAAGGTAAGTAATATATAGTTTAATTTTTAAGAGGACAGAAACATAAATAAAAGGACCATGTTGTATCACCGAGTGCCTGCTGCTGAAATTATCGGCCAGCAACAAATTGTCGTGCCGATGATATAAAAAAGTCCGATTGCTAAAAAGTAGGTATCAACGCCCGACCAACTTATGTTCAGTATAGTTAACTGCCCGATCATAGAAATAAAATTCCTGTACACATATCCCCATCACGAAAACGTAACAAAAAACGATAAGGTCGGTTAATATACAGATATTATAATTAATGCTTGCTATATTGCTGCCAGATAGTTCTCATCCATTTATGACAAAACCGGAGCAATTACATATAATCATTTGCAATTTTATGATCGTTTTAATGAGGGTGTATTGTTATTTAAATCGAACATAATCACGGTGATGAAGAACTATTTATAATTACGGAAAATCGGCGTTATCAATACTTCAAAGCAGGTCCGTAATGGAATTATTTTGGAAACAATAATCAATATAACAAACATACTGAATAAGTATTATTATCACTATATTGTGTATCAATAAGATTGTTTACTATTACGGTTTCGTCGGTCTCCCTGTCTGTAGTATGTCATATCTATCAGCTTATCCCTAATACTTCTGTAACTCGGGAGGCATCACTCGAATCTTCATTATCATCTATTTAACTTGTTTTGAAGTTTACCAACTTTTTTAGGATAGAAGATTGGAGTTTGGGAATTGTAATATTTCAGACATATTTGTTAGGTTGTCCTTAGATTTGACCTTAAGCCTCACCTCAAGGTTATTTCAAGGTAAACTTTTGTTTCTTGAATGGAAAAGCACTTTTTGAAGCCATCCAAACTAAAAATTCTGTGTTCGGATGCGTTTTAAAATGCAACATCAAGATCACCTCCAAAGGTGAAACGAACGTCTAATGTGTCAGGCTAGGAAAAATTTCTAGAAGTTTGGCAGGAATATTGATGACAAAGGTAAAGTCATGCCTATAACAAGGACTTCATTACTGACCGTGGATTTAACCTTAACGTCTCTTTCACCGTCATAGTAATTCTTGAGAACGTATTAGAACGTAATACTTTTCATTTTCCGCATCAAGTTTGACTTTTAAGGTGAGGTCCAAGGTTACTAGTGAAACCTTTGTTAAAAGTTACCCGTCATTAATAATTTTTTCCTTGGTAAACCCGCTAAAATTTCAAAAATTATCCCACTCTATACACATTCACCTTTAGAGTTGACCTTGATCTCAGATTTTAGTACACAAGTGGCAGTAGAACTTTTCGTTCCTTCGTTTTCAAATGTTAAAAAGTGAAACGTTCATTTAAATAACAAATGTTGACCTTGAAATGACTTAGGGAGTGAGGCTCAAGATCAAGTCCAAGGTTGCCATTGAACTACTTGTCCGGTAAAATACAGATCATTCCATTACTTCTGTTATACCCGGTACATTTGACCTTAACACATAAAAATTACTACACCAGTCATGATAATTTTATATTCATACTGCTTAAAAATGGTATCAACTAGGTTGACTTTTCTTGTACCGAAACAGCCTCGCACACAGAGGTCTAAATACCAAGGCACCGCGGCTGCTATAAGGAGCTTAAAAAAACTGCAAATCCGATTTTCAACCTACCCAAGGGTGTGAGAACTGAAAAAAGCGCCTCGGCTAGATTGTTATACAATTTCGATACCCTAGGGACAAAGGCGGGATGGGAGGCTGAAGTCAGACCGGTCTGTCTGGCAGGCACATCGCGTGGCGGCTTCTTAGAGGAGACCTCTGAGGAACAAAGGCCGTTGGCGTGGCGGTAGAAGAGAGCTAGGCCGCCCGTCGGTATCGAGACTGTCTGTTATAAAAAAATCATCGATTATTCGATAATTTATTCGGGATGGCAGCACTCCAAACATGTGAGCAGTACTCCAGACTAGGTCTTATTTGGACGTTATACAGAGTGAAGCGATCATGAGAGGAAAAGTACTTCTTAGTCCTAAACAAATAGCCTAGCTTTTTCCCAGCAGCTGCCACTATTGACGAGGTGTATTCGTGCCAGATCAAATCGGCTTGTTACTCATTCCTGCATATAGAGCGCTGTCATTAGAAAAGCTGTAAAACCGATTGATCGTATAGGAGAGGAGGTCGTTGACATGTAAGAGGATCAATGTTGAAGCCATGACCTATCCCTGGCGAACACCCACGTTGACATTGTGGGAAGAATAGGAAAACCCGTCAATTACGATGGATATCTTACAGCCAAGTAGGAAGTAAGCCACCCATCCACAAAGCCTCTATGCGAGGCAATAGGATAGAAGTTTGTGTACACGTAAGGGGGCAGCACGCTACAGCTGATCGTGATATCAAGAGCAATGATATGAGCCTCACCGTTTCTCACATGCTTTAATAGAGTCTCGCACATGGTTTATCGGTTTGATGAACATATGCCTTATAAACTTTTTGTTTTTCATATACATTTTCCGGTTAAATTGATGTTTTCAGTTTTCGAAAATACTTCTCCCTGCACGGATTGCGGGTCTGTGCGGTTTGATAATTTCAGGTCATTTAGCGTTTGCATTATGAATCCTGATACAAGCAACACAGGAAATATGATTGTGGTAAAGGCATAATGGTTCGGGTTGTTAGGATAGGATAATTGAAATCACATCGATTCGATAAAATAGCGAATGCAAACATAGGCTGATATAACACAAATACTGATAGAAGAACATCAAATCACTCGGAAATAATGAACTAATGCACTTTTGTGCTTAAACAATTTTTAGAAATTGGGGTCAAGAGAGATATGTTATGTAACATTACCGGTAGGTAGATAAAATCGGAATTTTGGCTTTGCAAATTCATTCATAGGAAAGACCTGTCACGTGTCAAAATCACGTAACCTTTTTTTACTATTTTAATCACTTACTAGTAATTTGAATTTCTCTTTATCAATGATAGGGTGCCCATTCCTAGGACAAACCCTTTTCAATGACTTTCTTTTGGTAAATTTCATAGTTTATTGATTGCATAATTTCACACGTATTATATCTTTCTTTCTCAGTGATTCAGTATTGTGTTGGAAAAAACTCTGTGGTTTTTCTCCGTTACTTTCCTGTCAAACATAACTTCTTCAAGGCCACTGATTGCACCTTCCTTTAAACAGTTAGGTGTTTCGTATCAGTCACTTTCCTACTGAAGAGACTAGAGACCAAGTCTAGACCTTGCTGGTGAGAAGCCAAAAAGCATGAAACAGCTATCCATGGTTGGCTATCTTTTGGTCGGACGGATGAAAGCATCATGAGTTTCTTCAATGGCAGGTAGATCACATCTACCTTACAGCCAGAATCGCCAGTTATCTAGCGGTCACGTGGTGACTGGGCTAACAAATGTGAACTGAGATTTCTAACAGTTCCAACTCTATCAGCTACGCCCTCCCACGGTGATCGATTCTAGTGAAAGATGCCGCTTTGCATGAATGATTTTTTTTAACTGAAAATGGAGTTCTTTCATACTCGTATCACTTCTAAGAGGACAATTGTAATTCTACTTGACTGTGATGGCCGAAACTGTAAATGAATCAATGGTCATACAGAATACGTATCCGTGATAAGAATCTACTACACGATCGATTCTTAAATCAAATTATTCAGTTCTTCTCCTTATTTCCATCAAAATCAAATACTAGTAAAGCTAATTTCCATGCAGCTTGTCAAAAATGCATGAGTTCCGCTGCTTCTAGGCAGCTGTTCTGGTTTAATTTATTTTGAAGCGGGTTTCGATGAGGTTGTATGAATTCGGGTTACATAATATTGATGCGCATACAGTATTTGTATATTACCTTGAATTTATATTTATTTCCTAATACGAACCTGGTCCATATATATGAAGAATATAAATAGGAATTTTAGTACATGCATTCTTTCCAGACTGATACATACCGCGCATATCCCCCCCCCTTCTACCTGTCGAGAAGCTATCGAGTCTCCAAACAGCTCCTTACATTGAATCTTATTAAGTTTGCTCTGAATTTCATGTTTTGTATACCGGAAGACCAATTTGTCGAGACTACCATTTAAAATTATAATGAATAGAAAGACCTAGAGAGTCATCTTCATTTTAGTAGCGAAGCCGATCTAACCAAAACTTTGCGGTCGGCGAGTATTACTGGTTTAAAAATGAAAACAGCAATCTATGTGCAAACTGTCGTTGGCCACCGAGACGGTGTTGTCAAGCTGCCATAGAATATTAATAAAATACTACATTTATACTAAGCAGAATGGAGCTCAGCTCTTTTCATCGTTTTTGATGGTTATATCAAAAAGTCGTACGTAATAAACATATATATATATACATATATATAGGTGAAAAATTAAAGCTTCCGCCTTTTGTTGGGTACTTCGATAAAATTTAAGCAAGATAAACCAAAATATGTGTGTAAAAATAAAAAAAAATTAAAAAAAAAAATTTACTTTGTTTTATAAAGTATGCTCCCGACAAGGATTTCAGTGCGGACCTGTATTTGATCGTGAGGTCCCCTGTGAGGTCTTAAGTCACCTGATTCACGAGCCCGTTGTACTACATTAACAAAGCACGAGGGGTTGGTTGCACTCGATTGGGAAACCGATCCGCATAAATATGTGCCATTTTTTATTTCGTTTGTGCCACGCAGCAAACACCACTATTCACTCACGCGTTACCGACTGACACAGACTGAATAAAAACATCGTGATCAGCGTTTCAAATTCTTTCGCTTTTTTGATTCCGATGCGATGAACCGATAAGGCGGAGTATA